TCCTCAAATGACATTGGGATACTATTCAAAGAGATAAATACTGAACTCCTTTCCGTAACTTATATTTTTCCTGTAAAATCTGCTACTTATTTCTAAGACTAGCTGTCAAGTTCTTGCTGTTTTGATATAAAAGATTAGATTGCCTCACACTATTTCTGTTCGTGCATGTTGTCCTTCAGAGAGACTATTTTAAGGGAATTTGGTATCACATTTTAAAATTAGAAATCACCTATATCAACATTGCCACAGGAAAGAAGAAGAAAGGCTGGAGCCATTTCTTTTCTTTTTTTCTTTCTTTTTTTTTTTCAGCCATTTCTATTAGGATCTGAATCATTTCAAAAGTAGGATGTAAGAATTCAACAAAGGCCCTCAAGATTACACATAAATACAAGATGTATTAAAGTGTATGTTATTAAAGAAAACTGTATAATCTATTTTCCTGCGGATCCTAAAGAATAGAAGGAAATTTTCTGTGGGGAGAACCACCCCAGACATTTCCTTTGATGTATACAATTGAAAGGCTCCAGCACCGAGATCTCTACAAACTTCCACAATGAATGGTGCAGAAAATGACTCACAGATAAAGTGATCCACACAGTGAAATATACGTATATCTCCAAGCCACAAAGCCCAAGTTCTTTGCTCCAGTGTTAAGGATGAAACACACTCCAAGGGCTGGCCAAATAGCTCAGTGGATTAAAGTACTGCAAGCAGGTGCAGGGGCCAGGGGTTCAATCCCTGGGCCTGCCATGTCAGCCCCCCACCCCACCCCCGGGGGCATGCTGAGGCAGCCATTGAGACTGGGTGTGGTGGCACACACCTGTAATCCCAGCACTTGGAAGGCTGTAAACAGGAGAATCACTATGAGTCCGATCTAGTAGGGAGATCCTGAAGACCCTATAGACCCTTCCCTAAAATACAAACAAAAAGAAAAGAAACACACTCTAGCTGTCCCATGTGGATATTGACTTCCCACTTTGTAGACATGATATACAATGTTACAAACAGAACTCTTTTTTAGTTACAATAGCAACAGTTGGTTGTTCTTCCTTTCCAGGTATCAGACACCCTACACACAACAGGCCAGGGGATGTGGGAATGTTTAAAACAGGAAGAGTTTCTAGGAAGATTAACAGAGTGTGGCAGAGTCAGAAAAATCCCCAGGCAGCAGGAAATCACATTCCTCCCAGGAACCGAGTGAAAGAGCAAGATACACGCCCTCAACAGACCCACTGGCACCGCAGCCCGACCATGAGGTTAGGAAGTAGTGATAAGCCTTGCAATGATACCTGGCTGTGCTTTCTGCAGTCTGCCGCTTAAAATAAGCTTAAATTGTCTTAAGAAAACCTGTACTGTACTCATTCCTCAGGTGTTCTAATTTTGCTGAACTCATTGTTAAGATATGATTAAAGCAAGATTCAGCAAAAACAGTGATCCTTCTTTTTTTTCTTCTTTGGTGGAACCAGGGATTGAACTCAGGCCCTTGTGCTTGGTAGGAAAAGTGCTTATTCTGCTGAGCCATCTCCCCAGCCCCTAATTTCTTTCTTTTT